TGGGGGTACTGAGCCTGGGGGTGCTGAGCCTGGGGGTGCTGAGCCTGGGGGTGCTGAGCCTGGGGGTGCTCAGACTGGGGGTGCTCCGCTTGGAGGTGCTTCGTCTCGCCGTGAGCCACTCTCCCCTCCGGAGCTACGTGAGTGGTTTGCCAGACGCTGGAGGCGTGCTGCTGGTGCTGGCGGTTCTTCGGCTGCAGAGGGTACTACTGCCGAGCGTCCCGGCGGTGCTCGTACTGTGGGTGCTGGAGCTGCTAGGTCTGAGGGTTCTCCTGGAGCTGGTGCTGCTGAGGGTGTTGACGCTGAGACTGCCGCTGGAGGTCCGACTGGCGGTGCTCCTGCTGGTGCTGCTGGAGGTTCGGGAGCTACTGGAGGTGCTGCTGGAGCGGGTACTCCTGCTGGGGGTACTGGTGCTGTCCCTGCTGTTTCTGGCGTCGCCGCGCGGCCCCGGCCGTACTTCGTTCCGCTCCTGCAGCAGGTTCTTGGTCTTACACCTTCTCCTGGTCCTCCTCCTCCTCCCTTAGAGGGTCCACAGCCTTTCTCGTCACAGTCACAGCTACAGCCTGCCTCCCCTTTGCCTGCTCCTTCTCCCTACGCTGGTCCGACTGGAGGTCTTACTGAGCGTCGTGAGCCTGCGTCTCGTCCTGCGTCGCCTGTTCGTACTGCGCGCGCTAGTGGTCGCGGTTCGCGTCAGCGTCCTCCTCCTGTCCCTGGCACGCACCGGATGTCTCTGTGTCCGTCCACTGCTCCTCTGCGTGCCCCTTTGCCTTCTCCTCCTGCTTCCTCTCTTCCTGCTCTCCGCCTGTCTTCAAGGCGCGTTACGTGGCTCGTGGCTTCAGTCAGCGGCAGGGGGTTGACTACTTTCAGACCTTCTCCCCCACCCCGAAGATGACCACTCTTCGGGTACTGCTGCACGTTGCTGCTCACCGTGACTACGAGCTGCACTCTCTCGACTTCAGCACAGCTTTCTTGCAGGGCAGCCTGCACGAGGAGATCTGGCTGCGTCGCCCACCTGGCTTCACTGGGTCTTTCCCTCCTGGTACCCAGTGGAGTCTCCGGCGTCCAGTCTACGGTCTCCGCCAGGCGCCACGTGAGTGGCACGACACACTGAGGACTACGCTTGCGGCACTTGGGTTTGCTCCTTCTACTGCCGACCCGTCGCTGTTTCTGCGCACCGACACCTCTCTGCCGCCGTTCTACATCCTCGTGTACGTCGACGACTTGGTCTTTGCCACAGCGGACACTGCTGGACTCGCTTACGTGAAGTCCGAGCTGCAGAAGAGACACACGTGCACTGACCTGGGTGAGCTGCGCAGCTACCTTGGCTTGCAGATCACCCGGGACAGAGCACGCCGCACCATTACCCTGACTCAGTCACACATGGTGCAGCAGGTCCTTCAGCGCTTCGGCTTCACGTACTCCTCGCCTCAGGCCACTCCTCTGCCTACTCGCCACTCGCTCTCAGCTCTGCCTTCGGATGAGTCCGTAGAGTCGAGTGGCCCGTATGCAGAGCTTGTTGGCTGCCTCATGTACCTGATGACCTGCACACGACCTGACCTTGCATACCCTCTCAGCATTCTCGCACGCTATGTTGCTCCTGGGAGACACCGACCAGAGCACATGGCTGCAGCGAAGAGGGTGTTGCGCTACTTGTGCAGTACGTCGGGCATGGGGCTAGTGCTTGGAGGGCGCAGTCCAGTGGTCCTCACTGGGCACGCGGACGCTTCTTGGGCTGACGACCAGGCTACACAGCGGTCGTCACAGGGTTACACCTTCAGCCTTGGTTCCGGCTCTGTCTCGTGGCGGGCTACTCGCTCGTCTTCTGTTCTCGGCTCCAGTTGTGAGGCTGAGATCTACGCCGGGGCTATGGCTGCTCAGGAGCTTCGCTGGCTCACCTACCTGCTGACCGACCTTGGAGAGCCGCCTCGTTCTCCTCCAGTCCTGTACGTAGACAACAAGGCCATGCTGGCCTTGTGTCGAGAGCAGCGACTGGAGCACAGGACAAAGCACATTGCTCTCCGCTACTTTCTTGCTCGTGAGCTGCAGCAGCGTGGACAGTTGCGACTTGCGTACGTGGCCTCTGAGGCCAACACTGCTGATGTCTTCACCAAGGCATTTGCGCCTTGTGATCATCAGCGTTGCTGCACGCAGCTGGGTCTTGTGCCTGTCTTGTCTCACTTGCTCACTTCTTGACCTTGCTTGCACCTTGACCTATATATACTATTGTTCTTGCTTGCTTGATTCTTGTATATCTCTATATATAATCTTGCATGCGAACTGGCCTTGTGGCCCTTGACCTTGTGCTCGGAATGTGTGGTGACTTTGTGATCCACCCTGAGCTTTGCTTTGCTTTGCTTGAATGGTCTTGTGACCCCTTGTTCTCCCCCACTTTGCCTATGGGGGTGTGTCAGAACATTATAGCTTACTTGTTTGTGTAGGCTATAGTGGGGTATCCCATAGGGGGTACAACCCAATTAGGGTTTCCTATTTTGTACTCACCTCGTTCGTAGTCAACTCATTCACGTTTCTATTCTCACAGTATATGCCAGGAATACAGCAGGAGTACAGCCAAGGTTGTGCCAAATTGCCACATCATAAGGATACCGGTATCGGTTGGTTGGAATGAACCAGGCCCTCATATTCGTTTTTGGCCTGTCTGATTCGTCAGACTCTCTCTCAGTATTAGTCAGAAATCCTCAGAGTTGTCTAAAAAAAAAGTCTGAAACGTCAGAGTGTGTTTTAAAAAAAGTCTGAAACTTTCAGAGTACACTCAAGTAAAAGTCTGATTGTGCTTGTTGTAGCCCTAGTAATCATATCATAAAGCAAGCCTACTCCACTTCTCATACAGCTTTGCCTACATTCATACTAGTACTACTACTACTAATGCTGCTGCTTAGCCTTCACAAGATCACAGTTAGAATAGAACTAACTAACTACCCTACCTACATCCAGTCAGCAAATCCATCGTCATCATCACCAGACCCTCAGATTCGTTTTTAGCCTGTCTGATTCGTCAGACTCTCCCAAAGTTGTAGTCTGAATCTGACAGAGTTGCAAAAAAAAAAAGGGCGACGATAGCACATGTTGCAGCTGGGTTGTCTGGAGCCATGTAGTTGTAGCTTGCGTCAGCTCACCGAAGCCGTATCTGCACATGGAACCAATAGTCAATAACAATTTAGTTAGAACATTATTAAAACGTGGGTACTTATAAAAAGGCGTACGGCAGTTGCACTCACGTGGTGTAGTAGGTGCCGTACCCTCTCTTAGGGAAGCCTTGCACGCCCTTCTCCGACAAGTACCGCACCAGTTTCACCCACATCCCCATGGGCACGTCGGACCTGCTGATGAACAGCAGCGAGTCCAGAAGGGCGACGGTCCGCATCTTCTCAGTGTCCACCGCGGCGCGATGTTGGTCGATCTGTGGCTGCCGTCCACCGCACTCCTCTTCATATTTCTGTCTCCCAATCCGCCAGCTTGTGCTTCGTCGAGCCAGCGTGTTTACGGAAAGACTGTGTCTGCAGGTCGGTGGCGCCTCTCCCGCGCCTCCCGCACTTTCCTGCATCCCCAGCAAAGGCTGCACAAACGGTACACTTGAACGCAGGCAAGCCGGTAGTGGTTTTAGTGATTCTGAGCCACTGAAACCGGGTAGACCAATGATTTTTGAACTTGTCAATCGCTTCGTCGTAAACTCCCTCGATGAGCTCGGCCAGATTGATATTGAGGCGAGGTCGCGGTCGGTCAGATGTTCCGGGAGCGTTCGTGACGTTGGCAGTTGACGACGCAGGTTTGCCGAAGGTCAAGGTCGCCTGCTTGAGACGGGTCGTGCGCGCCGTGGTCTGAGTCGGAATCTGCGACTGTGAATCACCGATTGGTTTCGCAGATGTCTCTGCCACATGGTCGGCAGAAAGTGAGAAAACTGGAGCCGCGGGTGCTTTCTGTATGGGAATCGTATCGGGCATGGGGCGTGCAGCTTTATCGAGATCTAGTGTACTAAGCAAGAAGTCCAAGCCTGTTAAGGCAGGCCGCTCATCAGGGTCGTCGTCGCCTGTGGCGGGATTGTCCAGCACCGCCATGGCGGGGCTGTGAAAGAGCCTGCCGAGCAGGAACTAACTAGAGAGATGATGGCTGAGGCAAAACTGGGCACTGGCTTGGGCCCGTGAGATGTAGCTGAGGGGTGTGGATGAAACCCTAGCACAAAGACGAAGGCCCTTTACCAAGATGGGCCATCATTGAGTTGTGTGGGTGGTTGCCTACCATGCACGGCAACGACGAGGCGCATCGTTGCAGTGTGTGGTGTGGATGTTGCAGCATCGTGGTACACGATGCTGCCTAAAGGAGCGTCTGCTTGCCATCACGTTTACGTGGGTGGCATGGCAACAGCTGCAGCATCTTGCACCGAGGGAAAGAACGCGCCGCAGGGCGGGTGAAACATCCAGCTGTACGAGGGAAACATCGGGCCGCAGGGCGGCGGTACAGGTACAATGCATGTAACCACAGCTAATCCTGGGTGTCGGCGCGCATGTAGATTCATTCAGAGTCGGAACTCGTTTGTACTCTGAATTCATCAGAGTACACTCCCGGAAAACTCTGAAACGTCAGAGTCAGCCTAGAGAAAAATCTGATTTTCACAGACTTGAGACAATAAAAACTCTGAATTTTACAGAGTACACCCTAAAAAAAGTCTGAAATCTCAGACTAAAACAAGCAAATCAGACAAAAAAGTCTGACTTCTGGGGGCCTGGAATGAACCTACAAGAACCTCATGAAGTCACAGAGAAAGTCAAAGTCAACAACAAACAGACACGGGTCAGTGTGCAGAGCAGAGCAATTGACAAATCACAGCATGCACTGGATCAACCAAGCATACACGCTCCTTTCCACCCAACCCAACCCGTTTCACCCAAACCTTTCCACCCAACCCAACCCGTTTCACCCAAACCTTTCCACCCAACCACCTTTCCACCCAACCACCTTTCCACCCAACCCATTTCACCCAACCCCTTTCACCAGAACCAGTCATCCTTTTCTCCCTCATCCGCCCACCCTCCCCACGTCCCCTTATCCGTCAACTTCCTCCCAACTCCCACTCCCCCTCCCTCCTCCCCTCCCTTGCCACACACTGGCTGCTCCCTCTGCTCCTTCACCTGCTCACCCTTTTCAACCCTCTCACTCCTCACACTACCCTCTTGCTTTCCCCTACCCTCCCTCTTCCCAACCACCAGAGTGATAGATCGACGCATCACCTTCCCAACCACACTCCTGCTCCCTCCCTCCCCCTCCTCCACCCCCACCCCCTCCTCCTCCTCCTCCTCCTCCTCCTCCTCCTCCCCTTCATCAACCGCAGCAGCAGCAGACGAAGAAACGCCCCATGACACTACTCCCACACCTAATCCCAACCCATCCTCATCCCAAACCCCCCCTCGCCGACCCCTACCCGCCCGCTCTCTCCGCTTCGGCCGATCCAACGGCCCAGATAGAGTCTTACTCGCCCTGGATTCTCCCCCATACCCCCTCATATCCACCCATTTCTTGCCCTCCAGCCCATTCCCCAGCCGCACCACCCCATCAGCACCGGACACCACAGCCACAGGAGACGCCGGAACCCTCTCCTCCCTCCGCTCATACCCTCTTCCTCTTCCCACTGCCGCTCCTGCTGCCAGTGCCCCGCCTGCTTCCCCCGCTCCCCCTGCTCCTCCCACTTCCCCTGCTGGTGCAGAGATGTCTCCCGCCCCTCCCGCCCCTCCCCCTCCTCGTCCCCACCCCATGAGCCCCCAGCCGCTGCTGGCGCTGCTCTTGGGTGTGCCTGCTGCGCCTGCACTGCCCCCACCTCCACTCCTGCTCACCTCCCCACCTGCCGACACAGTCCTCGGCACCCTGCCGCTGCTGCTGCCGCTCTTCTCACCCTCCCCGCCTGCTGCCGCCGCTCCGTCCCTTCCTTCTCCTCCCCCCCCACCACCAGCGCTACCAGCAGCAGCAGCAGCAGCAGCGGCAGTACCTGCTGCTGACTCCCTACCCATGGAGCGCCCTGAACCTATCCGCGGGCTTAAGAGGCTTGCCAGCATGCGCGTGCCAGGAGGGGACGAATAGGAGACAGCAGCAGCAGCTGCAGAGGAGGCGGAAGAGGAGGAAGCGGCACTGCGAGTGCTGTGAGGGTGGGGGAGTGGGACAACAGACACGTGGGAGCCATGGGAATGGCTTGATTGCTTGGTGCTGTGACTGCTCATGTGGACACGCACGCATGTCGTTGTGCTGCTGCTGCTGCTGCTGCTGGTGGTGTTCTTGAACAATGCTACGTTATTTGCATGGTTGACAGTGTGGCAGGAGGAGGAGGATGAAGCAGAGGAGGAAGAGGAGGAACTGATAGTGATGCCAGCAGTGGTGCGACCTGCACCACTCGTGCTGCTGCTCCCTGTACTGCTGCTACAGAAGCTCACATCCACATCGTCAAAACCCCCTCCCCCTCCCCCTATCACCCCAGCCCCCCCTGCTCCTGCGCCAGACGCTGCCACTCCCCCTGCTTCTCCTCCCCCCGCCCCTCCCCCCATACTCCACATACGCTTGAAAATTCCAGCATGGGGGGACACGGACCTATCCATTCCCCTCTCGCTCTTCTCCCCATTCCCTTCCTTACCGCCCTTGGTCGTCGTCCCCTCCTCCACCTCCTCCTCCTCCGCCTCTTCCTCTTCCTCCTCCTCCTCCTCCTCCCCCCCCTTCCCCTGCTCCTCCTGCCGCTGCTGCGAGTGTCCCAAAGAGGCCTTAAGCCATTTCAGAGGAGACGCCTTCCTCGCCCTCTCCTCGCCTTCCTTCCCCTCTCTCCCCTTCTCCTGCCGCCCCGCCCGTTTCCCTCCATTCCTCTTCCCCGTGCCGTCGCCACCAGCACCACTGTCCCCAGCAGCAGCAGAGGCAGGGGCGAGAGGCAGGGGCGTGAAGTGGTCCGGTTCAAAGTCATCCATGGCTTGAAGCCGGAACGATGGCATTCCGTCCGACACGCCATGCCATATCATCGCCTCCCTCCTCTCCTCCCACCTCCCATCCTCTCCGTCCTCCCCGTCCTCCCCATCCTCCTCATCCTCCCCTTCCTCTCCGCTGCTCCCCCCTCTCCCGCTGCTCCCTCCTCTCCCGCCCCTCTCCCCCCGCGCGCCCATCCCCGCCCCCCCGCCTGTGGACGACCCATCTGCGCGTCCCCCCCGCCCCCACGCGCACTCGTCGTCTCCGCCCAGCACGTCCAAATCGTCATCATCCTCATACGCCGCGCTACCGTCCAATCTTCCCCGCCCAGCACCATCACAGCCTCTCCTCCCCCCTTCCCCCTCCTCCTCCTCCTCCTCCTCCTCCTCCTCCTCCTCCTCCTCCTCCTCCTCCTCCTCCTCCTCCTCCTCCTCCTCCTCCTCCTCCTCCTCCTCCTCCTCCTCCTCCTCCTCCTCCTCCTCCTCCTCCTCCTCCTCCTCCTCCTCCTCCTCCTCCTCCTCCGCCTCTTCCCCCTCCGCGTCCTTCTCATCGTCCCCCCACTCATCATCCACGTTCATGCGCAGGCGCATGGAGAAGCGGAACCCCCCCGCGCCCACCCCGCGCTCGTCCAACCCTCCACTTTCGTCCCCCCCATCATCATCATCACCATCACCACCACTGCAATCGTCACCATCGTCGTTACCTCCTCCTCCTCCTTCCGCTCCCCTTTCTCCCGTTACTGCCGTCTCACCGAACCGCTCGCGCTCCGTAAGTTGCGGGTGGGGAGTGGAGGCCAGAGAGGACGACGCCGCCGACAGACTCGCCTCGATCGCCGCGGCCGGCGCGAGCGACACCAGCAGAGGCGGCTGCGACGCTGCCGCCGCGGCTGTCGCGGCCGCCGCCGCCGCGGCCGGCGACGACGCGCTGGCGGCAGCGGCGGCGGCGGCTGTAGCGGCTGTAGCGGCGGTGGCAGCGGGCGGCGGCAGCTGCAACTCCAACTGTACCCTCTGCCCCACTAAAGACCCCTTGCGGTCGCTCTTTATAAACCGCACTCTTAACGAGACGGCGCCTGCGGACGTCCCCGTAGCGGCTGCCGCGGCGGCAGCTTTATCCCACTCCGCGTGTTTCACGTAATCTAGTAGGTCGAAGAAGCACCGACCAACTAGCTCTTTAGGAGTCTCGAACCCTAAAGCTGAGACCACGCCCGCGCTCGCAGCAACGATGCACGCCGACCGTTGATCTACGAGAAGCAACGGCTCGGGGGAGGCGGAGAGGACGGAGGAAGCAATCGCCGGGTCGAGGAGTAGGAGCGAGGAGATTGGGAGGTCCGGCGTGGACGGGCGAAGAAACGAGGCTTTCGCGAAGTCGCCGTTGATTGGCCCGTGCATCACGCGCGGCGATGCTGACGTGGCGGACGCCGTGGCTGGCGGGAGCGGGGTGGGGGAGGCGAGGGGGTAGGTGGAGGAAGAGGAGGATGAGGAGCAGGCGGGAACAGGAGGCGCTTGGTGGTGGTCTGCATAAGTGGTGGCAGACGTGGTCACGGAGGGCCCTATAACGAGGTTTTTCAGACGGTTCTTGGCACTCAGCAAACGACTGAAGCCACTGCTACTGCTGCTGCTGCTGCCGCCACCGCTGTTGGCGTTCATGCTCGTCGCCCCTTCCGTAACTTCCGCTCCTCCTGCGGTCACCGCACCTGCCGCGCCGCTAGGTGCGCAAACCCCCGGCGGCCCGGGGACCACGATCCCCGCGGCGGACGCCGCCGCGAGTGCCGCGTCAGCAGCGTCGTTGAGTGACGTGGAGCGGCGCTCGATGTTTGAGATGGAGCGCGCCATGAGCCGCGCAAGCGAGAAGGACGGCGCGGAGGCGGAAGGCGGAGGGGAGAGGGGGGACGATTTGCTCACCATGCTCCCCCGCGCGGGGATCTTCCCGCCCCTGTGGATCCCCCCGTTGGCCCCCACGCTACCGCCGCCGCCGCTGCTCGCTGCAGCAGCGCTGGCGGCGGCAGCGGCGGCGGCTGCGGCGGCGTTACTCGCGTCGCGGGGACTAAGGAGCGCGGGCTGGTACGAGTGCGACGCCGCGTCGGCACCGTGGCCGTGAATGTGTCTGTCGCGAGAGTGGTGATAATAATGAACCATTGACAGAGGGCTACGGGACCTCCCCTTAGCCAGCGGGGAGAGTAATCCGCCCACGCCCGCACCCCCGCCCGCGCCCTTTCCGCCCCAGGGTCCGCTGCTCTGTCCCTCTCCTCCCAACGTTGCGCTTGATGCTCCCGCGGACGCTCCGCCGCCCTCCTCGTTTCCCCGCGCGCTGCCCCTTGACCCTCGGCGGAAACTTCCCACTGCCTCTAATTTTCCCCACCCTTCCCGCGGCGTGCTGCTGCTGCGACTGCTGATGTCAGCGGACGATCCGTCGGCGGACGGCGCGCGGGAAGGGGAACGACCGGAAGAGGCGGACGGGGAGAGGAGACCGGCTCGCGAGGAAAGCAAGCGGAGGAACCGACGGGCGGAGGTGGAGGGGGAAGAAGAGGAGGGCGAATCCGCGGGGCTGTCGGCGGAGTCGATGTTCGGCGGCTTCCTGTCGCCCGCCGCTTCCGCCCCCGCGCTTTCCTGCGCGTGGTGGCGTCGGTGCCACAGCGCGCGCGCGGAGGAGGACCGCGCGGGGGAAGCACCAATGGGCGCAGACACCGCGATGGGCGAAGGGGACAAAGTGATACTGGCCCGCCGCTTCACCGCCGAATCTGCCGCCGCCTCTGCCGCTACGCCAGACGCTGTCGAGCTCGCAGAAGCCGCGTGAGGGTACCATAGTGGCGAAATGTTTCGCGGGCGGTCCGACATGGAGTTGCGACGTTTCTCAGGACTGCTGCTGCTACGGTCTCCTTTGAATGCAGCGGAGATCCCGCTCGAACCCTGCGGGTGTGACGGCGCATGCGGATGCGGCGCCGACGTGGACGCGCGAAGGGCGAAGTGCATAGGCGGGACGCACGTGGGCTGATGCCCGTGAGTCGCGGCGGTGACCGCGGCGATATTGTCCGGGTTGTGGTTCTCCGTCGCCGGGTCGTGCGACTCCGTCGCCAGGCGACAAGGCGACGGCGTGCGATCCCTGCAGCTGCCTACTGGCGGTGACGGCGACATGGCTTGAGACGAAGCGGCAGCAGCGTCGGAAACAGCGGCTGAAGTGGCGACACTTGTAGCAGCCGCAACTGTCGCGACGTGGGAACGAGAACCTTCGCGGAAAGTGTCGGGGAGAGTGGATGAGGGTCCGTGGCGGCAAGGAGCAGCGGGCGTAGTCGAGCTTGACTGCGGCGCGAGTCGCGAAGTTTCGACAAGAGCCATCTAACGACAGGGCGTCTAGAGACTAGGTTGCCAGTGGGCGAAGTCGAGGCGGGCGTCTGGAAGAGAAAGAATGAATACACGGTGACTGAGATGAATAGAAGGGAGTGGCAGGGATGCTGCGGAGTGGTGTAGTTTACAGGAGTGTAGAGAAAGGCTGGGGTGAAATGCTCTGCAGGAGCAGATACCTGCATTCGCGGCAGAAAGCCTAGGGTAGATGACGATGACGACTATTGCGATGCTGACACAGCTATACGTTCCCTTTTTCCCTCTCACTTCAGTTAGGAGTTTCGCTCATTAACGGACGACTCGGCTTCGCGACTGGTCGTCTCAACGCGTTCGTTCCATTTCCAGGACAGAGGGTTCTCTGGCTTCATGGTGGGGTGGAGGGTAGCGTGCTCGAGGTTGAGTGGGAATGTAATAGCAGGTTGTGCTTGTTGGCGATCGTGAAATGTGTGATTTGTGAATGTAACGGAACTGCCTGAGGGAATAGGGCTGCTCTTTTCGGTTGGGGTGACGGGTCAAGTCGAGGGAGAACGGGCCACGCCCCCGCCACGCCATGCCATGCCATGTTGCAGTGAGCTGGTGAACTTACACACAGTGTACAGTAACTACGGAGAGATACAGCTGGTAGGTTGGGCGGTCAGCGTCACACGTCACGTTGCATTACTTGCAACACATGCAGCTTTTGCTGGCTGGTTGGGTGGCGGGCGGTCTGGAAGCTGAAATCTTGTTAGCGGCAGCAAGATTTCGGGCGCTCGTGAAACTTCTCACAGGTGGGGTACATCAACAATATAGCGATTTAGGGTCCTTGGTGTGAAACCACACCTTGCAGAATAGTACTGCATCTTTGGCTAAACAGCGACCAAACTTAAAAATCGCAAACCTCTAAAACACGCAAAAGTCGTTCAGGGGTTCTTCCAGGAATAGTGTGTAACTTCTCCAAAGAGACATCACCCGACCCCATTTACGCGTCGCGTGGTCGTTCCGCGTTGTCAGAGTGCGTGCAGACAACGAGATTGCTACAAGACACTTTCTGGGCGGCCAATATCATTGATACTCAAATTATGCCAGGCGCGGCTTGCGAAAGTAATCAACTAACATTTTCCTGGTAGAATAGCTACATTTACTGTATCATCTTGTTGTAAGCACATTTAAAAAACAAATCGCCCCCAGCACCTCAACTGCACGTACCCAACAAAGCAGGAAAAATACTTAAACGCATGACTGAACCTTAAACTGAAAAATGAACTGAATGCGAGAAGGCATCAACCTTAAACACCTTGTCGCATGACGTTTAAGGCTGGTGCCTCTGTTACATAACATGCCATTCGATGTGGTTTTGATCTTCTTCTGTTCTAGGTCAGCAGGTCCATGGTCGACGGAAGGTTGATGGTGACGTCGACCCCGTTCCGATAAATTAATCCCATTCTGCATCCTTTTCTCTAGAGGTGCTTTTTAACGCAATTTGCGCTTGATAAAATTCTTATTTCTTGGGTAACTTTTTGACAGAATTGTTCATTGTTAACTTAAGTGATTGCGTTTTTGTTTCTGTCACATTTCGGAAGTGTTATTAGCGTAAACGTGTGATTGGAAAGCGACAACCAATCAGCGTTGAGAAATCGAGGTGAGTACCGATGCAAAATTTCTCTGGCATACTTTGAGTATAAATGATATTGGCCGCTTTCTGGGAGCACATTTTTGTTGTACAGTCGTTTTGTTTGGCTGGGGGGACAGACGTTTTTCTCCTGTGAGAAACTTCGATTACAGGTTAGGTAATGTACCAGACCATCCCCAGACAAGAAGGGTATCGGATCAAAGAAGGAATAGATATCTCAGTACATTACAAGAAGAAAACCTTCCAAACCAAGAGAAGAGCTTTGTTTTTTACCATGACATATCTGTCAATATGAGTGGGTGCCTTTATAACACACCGACGCATCTACCCCAAATAATTGAGTGTTTAGTTGTGAGGCATCAATCGCCCATTCCACCGAATATATCTCAGCGCGTTCAGGTCGTCGCCCGGGGGAGCTCGCTGCCCGCGGGCAAACAAAATAAACCCCAGTCGGGCATGCATCCGGTCAGGGAGGCAGCAATTGAGATGATTTTGTACATTACGTGTACAAAACTGTTCGAGGATGTATTCGTGGTCTGCCTGTAGTAGAACAGTTCTGTGGGAGAAGCAACAATGCGCTAGACATCTAATGCAAACCCCCACCGAAAATATCTCTCACCCTCCACTGCCCTTGTACGACCCTCAGTCAATGACTGCCAAGTTTCAATAGATCCAAAGAAAGAACAATTGAAACTCTCGTTTCATACAAACGCACTGCAAATTGAACACCTCCGTCTCATAAAAATCCGCAACGCTATAATTCTGTCACGTTAGCTATAATTCGTTTTATATCCTGAAATATGCACTACTGATAGGAACTGCAAGTGCATGCGTACAATATAATCAGCAACAACTAGCACTATGCTACAAGAGAAAAATGTTACAAAAGGGCACTTAATTTGGGTCAAGAATGAACAAATGAACAAAAACAAGAATCAATGCCTACCAGTCTGGCATTCGACAAGCGCCGACCCCAGCAACACATTCACAGGCCGTTATCAATCCATCCTAGACAACATTTCCTGGGAGGTTTTGTCCGTCGAAGGAAGAATACACACAGTTGGTCTTCATCACTTCAGAAGTCTCATAGTCCTCGGTGCGCCCATCCAAAAAGCCTCGGCCCTCCTCCCCTTCGGCAGCAATAGGGTGTCTCAACAGAACTGCAAGGGCTGAAAAATCCATAGCCCTTTTCTCCCTTCCGCTCCTATACGTCTGCCCGAGCACTCCGTGTATTCTTGGTGACGGCTTTATGTGCGAGAAATGGAGGTTGATATGCGCTTGTGCATCCGTGGGTGTCTGAAGCAAGGGATGCGCAACACGCAGCTTTATCTGGACATCGAGAAGCGAGTCTATAGTGAGTCGGTACGAATCGACCTGGAAAAAGCCTTCACCAATTGATTCCTCAGCTTCGAAGGAGAAGGAGAAGCCGGGGAAGGAGTGCCGCTGGCCAGGCTGCAGTGAGGGGAAAGAACGAGATTCCAAGGTATGGAAGGGAGGGAAGAGCAGAGAAACGGAACAGCACAGAGCAGTGGGTGAGTGGAAAGAAGCAAATCTAGAAACAGCAAATGGGAAACGGAAGAACCGAGAAAGCAAGAACAGACAATCTCATACTTCCCATCCTCCCTTCCATCCTCCCATCCTTCTTTCATACACCCACCCGCCCATCACCTCACCCATACTCCTTTAGCTCGTGCATACAGCCATCTGTCCATGCAACATATCCCACTACCAATCCCATAATCCCACGAATCCTCCTTCCCAAACTCCTCCCCAAGCATCCCACTCCAACACTCCCCCTTTCCCCTTCTCGCCCCCCTAACCCCGGCCAATTGCACACTACCCCCCTCGTCTCACTTTCAATTCCGGCATCGCCTTTCCATCCAGCTCCACAAGTCGTAGGAGTCGCCCGCCCTCCGTTCGCCCCTGCCCTTTCCCGTCCCGCGCCACCAGCCGTAGCGCGTGCTTCCGCTGTGGACCTCCCACAGGCAACTTCGCTCCCCCGCTTCCCCCTTCCTCTTCCGCTTCCGCATCTTCTTCTGCTCCGTCTTCTCCTTCCGCTGCCTTCGATCCCCTCCCGATTTCCGCTGTCTGCACGGCCTCCGCGGGAGGTTCCCGCCAGACGACCCCCAGCTCGCGGATCCACGTGCGCACAGCCAGCCCGTTGCGCAGCAGAGACGCGCCGATGGTGCGCGTGTCGTAGTACCCGCGCATCTTCATGTTCACGTGCAGGCTCGAGTCCGTCAGCAGGCAGTACGACTTCTCCGGCGCGCCGTTGAACTCGAACCGCGTGCCGTGCGCGCCGCGGAAGTGCGGGTCGTTTTTGGTGCTGCCGCAGGGGGTGCCGACACTGCCAGTGGCCGCGGGGAGGGGAGGGGAGGGGAGAGGAGAGCCGAGGAGAAGGAGGAGAAGGGAGGGAGGGAGAGAGGGAGGAATGGAGGGAGAGGAGTGGGGAACAAGGGGATGAGAGGAGACGGATGATTGAACGAAAGCGGAAAGGGGAAACGCGGAGGAGAAAAAGACGGAGAGGGGATGGGAAGGAAGTGCTACAAGGTGATAATAACGGGAAAAACCATCTGGTTCCAGACGGGGCACGCGCTGCGAAAAAGATGAACACTGATAGATGGCTGAAAGGTTAAGTGTATGGTGACAGAGAGAGCACGTGTACGGAACAGCTGTCTCGTATGAATCGCGGAACGCGAAATTGGCACGGAGGCGCGAAGGAATGGCGGAATGGAGGTGCGGAGGGCGTGGCGGCGTGGAGGCGCGGAGGGCGTGGCGGCGTGGAGGCGCGGAGGCGTGTGTACGATGGGCGCTTACGTGGAGACATTGGCGTTCAAGCGAACGACTTTCTTGACCGTGATGTTGGCCGTGGCGCATGTTGGCGCAGCCGCCGCCGCGGGGTAAATGACGCACATGCCGCACCCCGCGCACACGGGGCTGGGTCTGCGCGGGCGAGGGCGCGGAGAGGAGGAGGGTGCGGGGAAAACGGGGAAGGAACGGGAGTCGAAGGTTTGGGGGACGTCAGGGAGAAGAAAGTGTTTGTGGGGCGGAGGATGTGGGGAAGGGGGTTTGGAGGGGTGGAAGAGGGGCGCGCGGGAGGGATAGATAACTGGGAGAAAAGTTTCAAATTTGACGTAGAGCCACCATCCCTTTTCTCCCCCTACACACCTTTCCACCTTCCCTCCTCCCCCCTTCCCACCCTCCCACCCACCCACTTCCCTACTACCGCTTCCGCTACAGCCCTCCCCCACCGTTCCCCCCCTCCACCTTCCCCTCGTCCCTCTTCCCCGCGTACGGGATGATATGCTGCCAGTAGGCGCATGACCCCGCATTCACGCATTTGAGGCAGCACTGCACCCGAGTGATCGCATTGCTCGCACAGTACGGCGTCGTCACGCGTCGCACGCTCGTCTGCGTCGTGCACCGGATGGGCACCAGGTACCGGCCGTCCGTCCCCGCCGTCGAGTTGCACGGCCGGTTGCAGCGAACCATCGCGGAAGGTACGCATGTCTGTAACCCCACGCCCTTGTAACGAATGTCGTTGAACGTCTGCCCGCGAGTAGCGGGTGGCGGCTGCAGTGTTAGGAGAATTAGGAGGAGGACTATAGCGGTCGGTATGTGTCTTGTCGCGCCCATACGGAATGGAATCCAGCGTTGCTAGTGGAGGAGGATCCGCACAACGCGCCGAGTTCCGCGGCAAGATAATTAAGAAGGCTAGCCGGTTGGGTAGGGATTCAAGTGGCGGGAATGTGTACACGGTGACATGTCAATTATTTACAGCTAAATGAGGATACAAACAGTCGAGCCGAAAATACAGTTCAATATGATACAGGTGCAGTGTCTCCCGGGATGACGCTACGACACACAGGCTCGCCTGAGAAAACGAAAACACACAAACCTCGCATCGACTACTAAGACGGTATGTAATAATCGAGTCGCGGTTCTTAGGGCAGCGCACTTTGCAGGGGCGACAGACGACGGAACAGATGGGGAAACGGGTAAGGTTCTGACGAAGGAAAACAGATGGAGGACGCCCAAGGCTACCTCACCCGCCGACCAGAGTAGGACGCGACTTCAGAAGTGTTTAGTGCGGTGAAAGAAGGTGCCTGAACGACGTGTGGAATCTCCTTCTCCTCTGTTCTGCTGGAGAGGCACCTGAGGTGTTTTGTGGATGCATGACGCAACCCATCTCTTCAGCGAAACCAGCAGTTTGTTTGAGCGAGTGAGACTTTGGAGCACTGCAGTCAACCACGGCTCCACAGTAATAATATACAGTGCAAATCGTGTAGGGAAGGGAACGGACGGAGGGAAGTGAAGAGGATGTGATTCGTGAACTGTTCCCTGTGTGTGAGTGGTGCATCGGTAAGCAAAACATGCGACTCGACGCTCGATCACCTGATGCATTTGCCCCTTTGTCATCTTCCTCAACAACCAGCCAACCGAGGTTTCACGAAATGTGTTTCAACAATCAGAAACTTCGCAAATCTCGTCAACATTCCAGAACCCACAAGCGCCCCACCAATCTCATGTCCAGAAAAAGGACACACTAATTCGTTAACATGACAACCATCAATGAATACCATATATGTTATGAGTTTTAAAAGAGAGTGCGCGGAATAACGAATAACGAAGATGTGACTCAATGAACTGACAATACAATGAAGGCACGCGCTAATATAGCGGACCAACCTAGCTAGGCGGGAACCTCGGGAACACGAGGTTGGGTGCAGGTTGGGCAAAGGAAAGGCCGAAGGCGACGCGAGGTTGCTTCGGCAGCAAGCGAAGTGGCCGAACGTGCACTTCCGAAAGTCGGGGTTGTACGCGGTTGAGTAAACCCCTGTAAGGAAAAGGGTTTTTCCTTATACTACCCCCCCCTTTAAGAAAGGTGGTCAATATCCGCAGCTCGCTTGCGGGCGAGGTAATCACCAAGAAGCGGAGAAGCTTCAAGCGAGGCGGATGGCACCCAAGTGTCGTCCTCACTGGTGCGGTCAGTCCAGCGGATTAATCCACGTGGCGTCCAGAAGCGTCGAGCCGAACACGATGCGCCAAAATCTTGGACGGGTCAAGCGTCGGTTCTGGGACGGGTCGGGCTGTCGGGGCGGCGTTCTGGCGCGCGATGTCCGTCGTGGCAGGCACGAACTTGCGAAGGAGGCTGACATTTAAGGCATCATGTATACGCCAATCTTCGGGTAGCAGCAGCTTCGCGGTGACAGGTGTCACCATCTTGATGATATTGAAAGGCCCACAAAATCGTGGTCGTAGTTTTGATGGGCCGGGCAGGTGCAGGTTCTTCGTGTCAAGTAGCACTAGTTGCCCAGCTGCCAAGACGAGTTCCCGTCGTAGAAGGTCGGTGTATTTACGGGAAGTGGTATTCGCCTTGCGAATTGCGTGCGCAGCCTTTTCGCGAACTTCCTAAAGTTCCGTCACAAATGTTTGTGACCTCGGGACCGGGTTGTCGAGTGTAGTCGTTGTAGGCACTGTCGGGTCCATCCCGTGATTTAAGAAGAACGGGGAGTGATTAGCTGTGCTGGACGGGGCGTTGTTGAACGCAAACTCCAGCATGGCGAGCGAGTTTTCCCTGCGAGTGGGGTCCGAGCAGTTTGTCCTGATCAGCTGCTCCATAGTCTGATTGGTGCGCTCGGTCTCGCCGTCCGTTTGCGGGTGGTATGCCGATGAGAACTGTAGCTTCGTGCCGTACTGCGCCCACGTCTCCTTGCAGAATTTCGATGTGAACTTCGGGTCTCTGTCGCTGATGATCGCCGCGGGAATTCCGTGCAGTCGCACGACTGTTGAGATGAAGAGGCGCGCAGTTTCTTCGGCTGTGATTGTCATACGACACGGTGCGAAGTGCGCCATCTTCGTGAGGCGATCGACGACGACGAGAACCGCGTCGTTGCCGGACGGCCGAGCTGGCAGCCCCGTGACGAAGTCCATCGTCACCTGTTGCCACGGTCGTTCGGGTGGCTTGAGGGGTTGCAGCAGTCCAGCTGGCCGCTGACGTGTCGATTTCATGGCTTGGCACACCCTGCATGAGGACACATATCGTTGCACGTCGTTAGCAGAATCAGGCCAATAATATTAACGTGCAACAGCTTCTGGGCTTTATCAACCCCGAAATGTCCGGAAAGGTTAGAATCATGGACCTCCTGAATGAGGAGTTCACGCAGCAGTCGGTAAGCGGGAACCCAAATCCGGTCAGTTCCGGCCTTTAGGTAATAGTTCCCCTTCTGCGTCGTCGCCTGCCGGTGATTCCCAGTCGTGAAGAACGGGTCCGTAGTGTAGCCGTGGGTGAATAGTCCCGTAAGTAGCGGGTTCGAATGGGTGATGAGCACTGCAGCGGATTGAACAGTCGGTCGAGTAAGGGCATCGGCGATGTTATTCGCCCCTTTCTTGTACGTGATGCGGTAGGTGAAATGACTCTCTATGTAGTCCAGCCACCGAATTTGTCGCGGGTTGAGGTTGGGCTGAGCTCGCAGGTACTGTAGGGACTTGTGGTCCGTGCGAACAGTGACGTCGGCGCCTACCAAGTAGCAACGCCACAGTTTGAACGCGTGTATTATGGCGAGCATCTCCTTGTCGTGAATCGGGTAGTTGCGCTCAGCTGCCTGCAGTTTGCGTGACTCGTAGGCGATCGGCTGCAACCCGTTCCCGAAATCCTGGAGGAGTACAGCTCCGATGGCGAAATCTGAGGCGTCGGTGACGACTTCGAACGGCTTTGATGGGCCGGCGATGCGCAAAACCAGAGGGGAAACGAGAAAATTCTTCAACTCCTGAAAAGCCGCCTCAGCTTCCTCCCCCCACACGAAATTCCTGTCCTTGTGCAGCAGGTCGGTCAGCGGGGCGGTTATCCCCGCCATATTCGGGATAAACCGCCTGACGTAATTCACGAAGCCCAAAAAACTCTGAAGTTCCGTGATGTTAGTCGGGGACTTCCACTCCTGAATAGTCTTGATTTTAGCCGGGTCGATTTTGATGCCGTCGCGTGAGATGATGTGCCCCAAAAACTCCAACTCCTGCTTAAAGAACTCGCACTTAGAGCCCTTGGTGATGAGGAGGTTCTCCTGCAACCGCTTAAACACTGCGTCGAGGTCGTGGAGGTGTTGTTCTCTTGTCCTGCTAAAAATCAGAATGTCGTCCAAATAGACGATCACACACTTGTCGAGAAATTCCTGGAAAATCCTATTCATGGTCAGTTGAAATGTTGAAGGCGCGTTTGTGAGGCCGAACGGCATCACTGTGAATTCGTAGCTTCCGTAGCGGGTGCGAAACTCGGTCTTGTGACAGTCGTCGGCGAAGACCCGAATCTGATGGTAACCGCCACGCAAGTCGATTTTTGAAAAGTAGCGAGCGCCGCGAAGTTGATCGAGGAGGTCGTCGGTGCATGGGATTGGGTAGCGAGATTTGATGGTCACCCGGTTGAGCGCGCGATAGTCGATACACATGCGAAGCCCGCCATCCTTTTTCGGCGTGAACAAGATCGGGGCTGCGAAGGGGGATGTACTTGTCAAACTTATATGCTATAGTCTGTGTAGGCTGTAGTGGGGTAGACAATATGGGGTACAACACTTTTAGGTTTTCCTACTTGTACCCACCTGTTTGCCAGTGCATTCATTCCTCGTTCTTTCACATGGTATAGAGTAGGTTCCCTAGTGGGAACGTTTCCTACGGCCCACTGAAAATCAACTTTTCTTTTTCCTGCCCGGAGCGCGCTTTGCCCCTGCCCGAGTCGCGCCCCGTGTGCCTGCCTTCCCGTCGCGTCCCCTGCCCTTAGCGGCCCATCGCGCTCCCTTACGGCCCCGTAGCGGCCCCTCTCTCAGCCCCTCACGGCCCCTTTCACGGCCCTTCGCGGCCCCTTCAGGCCCCTCGCGGCCCCTTTGTGGCACCTCGCGGCCCCTTCGCGGCCCCGTCGCCGCCCCCCGCGGCCCCGTCGCCGCCCTTCACGGCCCCGTCGCCGCCCTTCGAGGCCCCTCGCGGCCCCTTCTCGGCCCCGTTGCCACCCTTCGCGGCCCCTCACGGCCCCTTCGCGGCCCCGTCGCCGTCCTTTGCGGCCCCTTCGCGGCCCTTCGTGGCCCCTTCACCGCCCTTGGCGGCCCCTTCTCGGCTCCTCCGCGGCCCCTTCTCGGCTCCCTCACGGACCTGCTGCCCCGCCGTCGCCGCCCCTGCAGCAGCAGCCAACGCCGCTCCTGCAGCGGGAGCCGCCACCGCCGGTGCCGCCGACGGCACGCAACAGCCGCCGCCACAGCCGGGGCCGCATCCGCCGCAGCCGCCACAGCCGGGGCCGCAGCCGCCGCCTGCAGCTGCCGTCGCCGTCGACAGCAGGGGCCGCCGCCGCTGCCCCGGCCCTGCCCTGCATAGCGGAGCGGTGCTCCTCTGCCGCCCTGTAGCGGCCCCGTCCCTGCCGACGCACCTCGGCCCTGCCCCACCACTTGCGGCACTCTACCCACCTGCTCTGGTAAGAGCACCACCGAGCCGCGCCCCTCCTGTTGCTACTGCTGTTGCTGCCCCTAGCCTGCTGCTACTGCTGTCATGGCTACCCCTAGCGTTCTCGCCTTTGATGCTGAGGGTCGGGCTGTTGACAGCCGCCCAGTAGTCGAGCCGCCGAGCCGCCCTGCCGTCGAGCCGCTACTGTTCCTGCC